AGGTACAGACTCTGTCGGTCTCACTGGGGATATGCAATGTTATTTCTAATTTACCAAATGAAAAAACCGTGCGGGCTCCTAGGATGTTTTGGTATCCTACAGCCGACAGATGAATCACAATTGAGTTTTCCAACTCATTCTGTCTCCTTTTTCTCATTAATAACCTATCACAAAACTTGAAGCTCTTGGCACATAAGTGGTTCAGCAACCCAAGCGGGTTGGAGGGAGGGTCCTGTTTGTTAAGACATCATCGCTCACATGACATGGCAAGGCCAGCATCAGGCCTGGAATGGTTTTAAACTGCCAGCCAAGAGAACCAGCTGGAGTATCATTACTAAAATGTAAGAATGGTGATTTCAGTGTTGTATGTTACAGATGGGATTCTGGAATCTCCTGTCCCAGGTGTGGATGATTCCATCTAGATCTACGGGCCTATCAGCAAAGACGAGCAGCAGCTACACTAACGTGGGTGGACTTCCTCAGGCCACACAAAATATCTGATGTAACAGTATCCGCATTCAGTGGCTTGAAACGTTCTTCAAAACCTGCATTTCCTTCTGAGTCCTGGAGATTCTTAAGAGCTCCACGTGAACCTTTAAGTTCCTGAATATGTTCCTCCTACTTCCCTCTCTAGTGTGTTGTTTTGGGGAGGATTAACCCGTATGGCCTCCTGGAGGAGGAGTCATGCTCCTTCCAACAGCTTCTGTTACATAACTTTGATGTGAGGTCCTTTTCCAAAGGTGGAGGCTAGCACGCCTTGCAAAACACCCCACGTGCCAGCTTGTGCTCACTTCCCACTGAACCCCAGGGTGCCATGGGACCAAGAGAAGTTATTTCAGCTTCCCTCGAAGAACTACCAACACTAGCCATTTTGGGGTTGTTTCTGAGCATCTCTGGAATCTAACACATTTGACAGAGAGTTAAAAGAACTACAACGTGCTGACAAAAATCCTGGTGAATTCTGAAGTCCCTCAGTAGCCACATCACCCCGATACGTTACCCACATCAAATCTTCTGCCTGCTTTCTCGGCGCTATGGTGTTATTTACAAATTCGGGATGAAGGACACAATTTGGTTGCCAGGCACACTACAGCAACAGTGGAAAGGAAGTGGCGCGGGGCAATAAACTCTAGCAGAGCGTATTTGAAATTACGCTTGGTTCTGCCATTCAATAATTGTGTGAGTCTGAGTGACACACCTCAGCTCTCTGAGCCCGCGTGCCTCATCTAGAACAGGGGGTGAATGACATCTACTCTGCAGAGTCCTGAGGACAAAATGTGTAAGGGCTGGTGGTTCCTTCCTCCCACCACCCCCTCGCCAGTCTCTTTATCTGACAGCGACTGCAGCTTCGCTAGGAAACCTACCCCACACAACACACTACTTAAAGCGTTAGGAGGAAGCCTGCCCAGAGAAGCCGGCAAAAACACCACTGCCAAATCCACGAACTTCTCACCAGATTTCAGCTTCCGCTGAGTTCAAGGTTCTAATTAAAGTACTTTCCATTTTCAAAACAACTGCAAGCAGTAATTACATACTTTCCCTCCTAACCTTCCAGGAACAGCCTGAGACTGAGGCGAAACCTCCCAGGCCCCTGGACCTCGAGCGATGCAGATCGGACGTCATACTCTTCCTACCCCATTGACCCAATTATATAACGTCTCCTGCAGCTCCTGCCACACGGACCCCAGAGAGGGTCCTGGCTCATTCTAGCCCTCTCAGATGTGCGCTGAGACTCCACGTGCAAGGAGCTCTGATGGGGAAGCTGGCACAACGGCCTTTAAGATGAAAGTCCTATCGTCACACATTCAGGGTAGGGTCCCCTCTTTGGGTAATAAGTAGCATCTTTTATAATGACTGGTTCCTTACTGTTTCTATGGATGTCTAATTGAAAATGTTATGTAACTTAAAGTACGGAGCATTCCGGAGCTATTAATAACCAGCTGCATGCAAACGCTGAGGACTCATGGAGCTTAGAGTCAGAGGGGGTCATCTGGTACTAATATACACACACGCACGCAGACACACACACTCCTTGCATATATGTAAATTGAAACCCAGAGAATGGGAATCACTTATCTAAGGTCAGAAAGCCAACTAACAACAGAGTCAGGAATAAGTCCCAGGTATCCTGGCCTCTGGAGGACATTCTTTTCCTCTACACTCCCCTAGGTACCTGTGTACATCCTCACTGTTGCACAGATGTCACAGCCCTCGAACTGGGTTCTCACATTACTGGGCATGTCAGCTATGATCAAAAGAGCTCATGGTCTGGACTCCCGAGTTAGAAATGGGATGCCGACAAGGGAAACGTCTCACTGTGGTTTCTCATTGGTGATACATACCCCTCCTGTTCTCCACACCAAATCTAAGGCACCTAAAATATATATTAACAGGAAGCTATTATATGTATGGTGAGGAAGAGCTCAGCTTTAGAGATCTTCCAGAAAAGAAGTGGTTTAAGACAAGATAAAATTGAAAAGGGAGAATTCATTCTTGACTGCATATTTTCATGCCAGAGGGGGAAAAAAAGCAAAAACAAAAGTGAGAGAGAACTGTGAACTAAAAACTAAACATCAGGGATGGGAGTAACGTTTTACTACGTAATCTGGCTTTGGGCAACAGCAGTATGATATATGACCTAAAAATCATTCTATCATAATTACATCAACATTTTCAAAAGTAACTTAATGAAGATGGTTTCTCTGAACTCATTTTTATTCCAAACCTTACCAGTTAGTCATGAGGAGCTAAAATACACAATGCTGGGAGATTAATATGCTCACACAAGATGCATTGCTTGCCATTCGCAGACCCTATGAGCCTGTCAAGAATGAAAGCTTTGCTCTGGTTGTGTGAATTTCAAATAGTCACAAAACCCACTAGGAGTTTAGTTTCTGGGAAAAAGCGAGACATGCCCATGTCATCTGGGATTCAGTAACACTTTAAAAGGTTCATTAATCCACATCTTAAAAGACCTATGACAACCCCATTAAGGGCTCATAGGTCAAGTTGATGAATTTAGCTGTAATCAACAGGTAAAGACTAAGTCAGGTCTAGACATCCTGGTGGCCCACCTTTCCTGTCACCGTCCCTCTGTGTCCCTGCTCAGGCAGGCTCCACCGATCACTGACAGAAGCAGCAAATAACTGGGTGGGGAGAGTCTAAAAGTCACTTTATTTGCATGCACTAATTGTTTAGCCGGAGAAGGCTTTACGATTCAACTATGATGGATTCTTTCTGGAAGGGACAGGCAAGCTCACCAGCTTGCTGCTTTCTAGCCGGCTGGACATCTAATTGATGCATTGCATTTCATCGGTTCTTAGGGGCCAATGTCATCTCTCTGAATGAAAGCCTAACCTATCCCATAAGCCCCATCTGGTACCTTGGGGCACTTTACTACCACCATGCTTTAGCCCAAAAGACAACCCACCAAAGCACAGCTCAGGCTTCCCCTCCTTTGGGTGGACCATGAATCTTGTAGGCCCCTCCCCACCACATCTTCTTCTTGGAAAAAACAAGCTATTCAGTGTGGAGCTGTTAGTCCCAATGCCCGGGTCTGATCAGCTCACACCACCCCAGCTCAGGCCCGGAACCCACTCTTCGTAGAATCGTTTAGATGGAAGGGATCTGAGAGGTTATCCAGTCTGACGTGTTCCTTTCACTAACAGGGAAACTGAGGCCCCTTATTGCCAGGAGAAGCTTCCTGCACTGACACCAACACTGCATGAGTCGTATAGACAGCAAGCCCAACATTTGGTGACTCAACTGATTAAACGAGCTGCTCAGACCAGGACCAGATGATTCCTCGTGGCTTCTCCCTTCAGGATGGACCTAAATGCTCTGAGGCAAACAGTTAAATGCTGCAAACCTGAGAAGTAGGGGAAAGCTTAAGGCCTGATGTCTACATTAAAACCCCCTCCCCTTTTCTTCTGGGCTGACAAGTGTGAAGTGCTGCTGACACGGAAGGATGACAAACGTGAGCCAAGACAAAATCTCTGAGAGGGTCGGCTCCTGCCCCGTGGCCCTCTGGGATCAGCCCCAGGGCCTGTTAAGTAACCATCCCCAAGGCTTACACAACCAGGGGCAGGTAGACTTGACTGCCCCTCACCCCACAGAAAGGTTTAGGACAAGGTTCTGAGCCTGAGCATGTGCAGGGCAGGCAGGCACAGAAGGGGCACATCCGAGAAAGCAAACACTGCCTTTTCCATCCTTTAAGAGGCCTGGGAGAAACAGGGTCCCAGGAAAGAGGGTGCCCAGGGGGACATATCATCCTCCCACCTTAACAGAAGTAGCCTTACACTCACAGTTCACATAATGGGTAAGCAGCATGACGGAGGGATGGACAAAAACCATACGCGGCCAGCAATTTATTTCATCTGAGCAGACACTCATTGGCACAAGTATTTTCACCACACGCAACGCCTGGAGACGGAAGCAGTTAGTAGAAGAAATGGGAAGGTGTGTTTCCTACAAAGGGATCAGCTTGGCAGAGAAGTAGAAAGAGCACCCTGGGTTCCAATCTGGTCTCCCACTTCCTGGCCTTGTGACCTTGATTAATTCAACCATTCAACCTCTCTGGGCCTCAGTTTCCAAATCTGAGCCATGGAAGAAGGGGGATCTACTTCCTCGGGTGGTTTTGAGGCACCTACCCAGGAGAGCCTGGACACCTACTACGTGGTCACTATATGTGAGCTCTCTCCTCCCCGCAAATGATGAGTTTGAACCCAGGACGCATATATCCTCATCTGGACCAAACAGGTCTCCTCTGCCTGCGTGTCCAGCCGGCATCTGCCTCCCCTATGGCGGAGGAAAGCACCAGGTCTCCAAGGCGCCGGGGCAGTTCAGCCTCCAGGCAGGGTTTGGGGAATGGGGGAACCGAAGGGTTCCATTGGAAGCCTCATAGGCTTCCAGATTCGGGGTGGGGGCCGGGCAGGGGGCTCGGAGGCGGCCTCCAGGCCTTGCGAAGGGGCTTTGTTCCCGAAGCGGAGGGCCTGGCTTACCGAGCAGCGCATCCGGAGGCGGGCGGGGGGCGCGCGGGGCACGCAGCAGAACCACAGCCTGGCCCGGACCCGGGGCGCCTGAGCCGGAGAAAGGCGAGGAGGAGGAAGAGAAATAGGCTGCCGCCAGCTCCTGCCTCATTCTCCCGGGCAGCGCCGACCCGCTGGCTGCCGCCGGCTGGGGCTGGCCGCCGGGCGCCGAACCCCGTACGCGCGGCTCATGTCCCCGTCCGCCGCTGGAGAAGTGTACGCGCAGCCGGCTCGTCTCCGGGCGGCGCCCCGGGGCTCCTCATGCCCCGAGCCCGGGCTCGGCGGGAGGACCTCGGGGAGGCAGCGCGGAGGGAAAGAGAGAAAGAGAGAGCGTGAGAGCGCGCAGAGCTGCGCCCCGCGGGGGCTGGGGGCGGCGGGCGACCGGCAGGACCGCGCCGCCCCACCCACCGCGCCGCTGCGCCCCGCGCTGCGCGCCTGGTGGGGCGCCGAGGCCCACAAACTTTAGCACATGGCTGGTCCGGCGGCCGCGGTGGCGGGAGCTGCCTCGCTTGTCGCGCGCCCCTACTCACTCCCCGGCCCAGCCGCGGCCCCAGTGCACAGCTTACCGGCGGCGACGGCGACCGCGGCAGCGGGGCTCCCACCCTGCTGCGCGCAGAGCAGTGCGCACCGGCTAGGAAGGAGGAAGGGGCTGGCGGCGTTGGGGTCCCTGCAAGGGAGGGGCACCTGGATGACTGCGATCGGCGCTGGTTAAGGCATCCTGGGAGGGGGCTGCGTGCGAGCCAGGGTCCGCAAGCCCGGATGAAGAGGGTCCGTGCGCCCTCTGCCCCCGCCCCGCTGCGCCGCTGCTGACGACGCGCGCGGGCTTCCCCGGCCCCGGGTCTGCGGAGCCAGCCCCGTTACCTAGCGACTCGCTCCGGGGAGCCCACGCTGACGCGCGCGACTAGCGGGGCTGCGGCAGCCGAGGGGAGGGGAGGGGAAGGGAGGGGAGGGCAGGGGGAGCTCCGGAGCGAGGAGGGCGGGCGGCTGCGGCCGGAGCTCCTCCCTCTCCCTTCCACTCTGCGCTGGGGAGGGGGCCCGGGGAAGACGTGGCTTCAGCCTTACCCCGGAGGATGAGAGGGCTTGGGCTGGGTGGAGGCGGATGAGGGGAAGCACGGAGATGCTCCTTCCCTCTCACTGGGGATGCAGCAGCAGGTGGCGGCGACGTGGCCCGTGGAGGCCTGGCGCCCACAGGCGCGGAGATGGACCCGGTCCAGGCAGGAGCGCGGTGAAGGTGGCTGTGGGCGCGTGGATGTGTAAGACACGCTCCCACCCACGTGGTGTACAGGGGGACCTGAGGACGCGGGTGAAGGAGAAGCCACCTCCTTCCTCTGGTCTCCCTCCCTCCTTCCTGGACATTTTGCTCCTGCGTTGTCTCTTCATCATGGAAGCAAAGGTCGCTAGACTCCCTGCTCTGAGCTCCTCCTACCTTCTCCAGAACTGGAGGATGGCCAGGTGGTTGGGGGGCAGCTGTGTCCTCGTGATCAAACCAACCCCCCCCCACGCCCCCGTGGCAGCGCCTCCCCGCGCCACCCCTTTGTCCGGTTGCCCACCTTGGGGACCCTATCACCTGCCTTGGGCGCCTTCCTGTTTCTGGATTTGGGACTTCTCAGACCGGGGTTCAAATCTGGGCCCCTCCAGTTTCCTGCAGTATGTTCCCTAAGGTACCCATCTCCAGTAAAATGGAGTGTTTGTCCCCTAAAGCTTGTGGCTAAGTCCTAGTACATAAGGTGCTCTATCAGTGTGAATGTGTACTTGCTATAAGGTGTGCAGCCTGTCTCCTGCTCCTCTGAGACCTCACCAATAGACACCCCAAAGCCCAGGAAAGTGGGGAAAGGGTCGTGAAATGCCCTCGTAGCAGACAGGGAACATTGCTTTTCAAGATGAGGGAGGTGACTTGCTGGAGTCCACTGGGTGCCTCAAAGCAGAGCTGGGCCCAGAACCCAGGCACCCTGGTTCCCAGGCTCCCACACCCCACTGTGGCCCCCTCTTCCACAGCTGGGTGCAGGGAGTCTCGCTTCCCCACTCCTCAGAGGCCCTCCCATTCTTGCTACAGGATAGGAACCACCTGCTGCCTCACCCACAGGACCCAGCCCACGCCCCTTCCTGATGCTTCTGCCCTCTTCCTCTCTGGAATGGTGTAGGGAGGAGAGGCAGAAGACGAAGACGGACCCTGCAGAGGGGGGATCCTGCCTGCCCAGGAATGCCCCTCACTCTCCACAGGGCGGATCCCCTCCCTAAGGGGCTTTGAGCAACATCAGGGCCTGAGCTGGTTTTGTTGGCCCAGTTTCAGGATACTTCCTCTTATTATGATGATGATGATGATGGAGATGTCAATAACTCTCGTAGAAAAACCCTGCAAACCCACCCAAACAGAAACCTGTATCTTAAGACACAGTGGCCCAAAGGCAGCACTTTACTGGGAAAAATACTTCGCGTCCCAGCCCATATGCAACAGTTGAGATGCAGCATTTCCCAGTGAACTTGGGGGAAACACCTCTAAATTTCCCCACCAGTTTTTATGATTGGCAGCAGGTCCACAGAAACTCCAGAAGACCTGTTTCCTGGGGCTGTATTGGCAGCCGACCCTTTTTCAGCCCAGACTTCCCAAAACGCAGACATCTAACTTGGTCAGGGAACCCAGTGCCTACAGCAAAGGAAAGCTCCGAGCTTGTAATCCATGCATAACCAGTATCTGGGCCCCACTATTCCAGGAAACAGGGCAGCCTCTGGGGAAACATGAGTTGATGGCACAGGCATCTCATTCATGGTTCACAAAGATTTGAAGAATGTTGGCCTGTGCTGTAGCCAAAGCCAGCATGTTCACCTTTACAGTGTGTGTATGGGGCCGGACAGGAAGCCGCAGGTAAGGCTTCCCTCCATTGCATTGCCATCCCTCAAGCTTTCCTCAGTAGAGGTGGGGAGTGCACCAGCAAGCTGGGATCAAGGCAGCCCACGGATCCTCAGGGCCACATCTTTCCAGGGTGCCCATTTCCAGTGGAGGAGCATCTCCCCAAGTTTCTAAGGAGCATTCACTCAAGTCAGGCACCGTGCTGGGCACAGGGATGCAAAGATGGATTTGATAAGCCCTCTGTCCTCTGGGTCCTCCTGCATTTATAGAGGGCCTAGCCCAGGCCAGGTACTCCAGTTACTAAGGGCTTCATCTGCGGGAGCTTGTTTTAACGTCACCAAAGCCTGTAAGGTAGGTCCATTGTCCCTTCTTAGAGGGAAGCTCAGAAAGGTTATGTAACTTCCCTAAAGTCACCCATCTGGCAAATGATGGACTGGAGAGTTACAGCCTGGTCTCCCTGCCTCCAAATCCATGTTGCTAGCCATGACCCTATTTCATCTGCCAGGTTAAGAGAAAATTGAGACAATAATAATACGGAAAATACCTAATGACCTTTAGGATTACAAATGAGATGTATGCATTCCCAGGAGGGTTCCTGGAACAGAGTGAGCTCTCAATGATAGAGCCATTATTATCATCACTAGATACTCAATTTTGTTTTGAACTGATAAGCTCTACCTTATAGGCATTACCAAGTGCTACTCTTGGAAGCATAAGGAAAGCGACTACATCTGTCTGCAGGGACTGCAGCTGGCTACACAGAGGAGATGGCATTTGAGTTGGGTCTCCAGGCATGAGTAGGTGTTGGGTAGTTGGAGAAGCAGAAGCAAGAGCAGGCAGATCAGGAGGAAAACGTAGGGGAAATGCACAGAGCTGTGAACAAGCACTCATTTGGGTAGAAGCTGAGAGAGACTCGTGATAGGAAAGCAAGATGGTGGACAGGAGCTGGGGGAGGCCACTGCCTCTGTTAGTGCTGGTCCCCTCCCTGAGGCATCTGCTGAGCCAGGCCTATGTGGAGGGGAGTGGGGAGACACAGGGGGACAGAGAGCTGGAAGAGAGGACCCAGCCTCCAGGCAGCCACCCAGGCAGAGACTTTCTGGCCATGCTTGACTGGAGAACCTTCCATCACTTGCAGGGGCAAGGGGTCATGATCCCTGCCAACCTCAGCACTTTGCAGGGCCACTGAGAGGGACATAGGCTATCCTCCGGGTCACTGTGTGGGAGAGAGGTCTTGGCAACCTGTAATGGGTGCATTACGAGGCATGGCTAGTTCGCTCATTCTCAGGTTTTCTCCACAACTCATTCATTCATTTAATAAATGTTTGTTGAGCCCTGTGATGTACCCAGCACTCTGATGGCTGTCAGCAGTCGGCAGTGAACACACCACAGCCCCTGCCCTCCCATCACTCACCATCTAGTAGAGGAGAGAGACCAGTCAGCAGGATGGTGTGGCAAGGGCTGGCATCAGTGCTGTGGTGTCTGCAGGCCGTGTGGTTGCACAAAAGAGAGGCCCCTCTCCAGGTTTAGGCGGTTGATGAAGACTTCCTGGTGGATAAGCTTTCTAAGATGAGTGGGAGGCAGCCAGATGGAAGGGAATTGGGGGCGGGGGGGAGGAGGGGAGAAGGTTCCATGTGCAGGGGTAGTGCTTGCAAGAACCCAGAGGTGAATTGTGGGGAACTTCAAGTCCTAAAAAATATAACCCATTGAGAAAAGCCCAACCTAGCTGTAACTTTCAGAGAACAACTCTGTGTAGTTCGGCCAGATAAGTGTATGATGTCGGGGTGGGGAGGGGGGTCCTGGAGGGAGGAAGGAAAGAATTCTTTAGAAATAGTTCAGGAAAAGTTTGAAGTATTTTTAAAAAATACTTCAAATCAGCTTGAAGTATCCTTTTAAAAGTCAGTATCTCTATTTGCTAATGACTTCCCCCGTTTTTTTTACAGTGTTTTGCAGTTTTCCAAGCCTTTGGCACCCCATATTTCACTGGCCCTTGTCACATACATGAGAGTTTGGTCGGGATGATTCCTCAGCCTCAAAGCTGATAGCTGGCAGACCCCACGACTTGAACCTGGGGCTTCCTCCTGGGTCGTCTCGTCCTGATAAGTCTGGATAATTTTGTATGGCTCTTTATGGTTTGCCAAGGACGTCCGCCTCCCTGAGTCCACTTCTCCTGACTGTGTCAGCATCTCCAGCTTCAAAGAAAGAAAATGCCAGGCCAGGAAGGGGCAACACCTACCCGGCAGAGCCTCTGGTCTGCAGGGGGCCTGGAGGGTGGCTCATGGGGCTCATCCAGACAGGCTGGGCCTCCGGGGTGAGCAGCAGTTTGAACCAGGTGTGTTCGTGCTAACAGGACGGCCCAGGTAAGGAGAGGGCTTGTGTGGGGGTGACATAAAGGACAGGTAAAAGGAAGAGGACTCAAACACTGCTTTCTGTGGGAAAGGGGGCTTTAGGGTCTGAAATCTTCCTTTGTGACACCCATATTAAAGTGGTTATCAGAATAAAATGACCCAACCAACCAAGCTCAGGAAGCAGGAAGAGACTTGGACTCAAGACAACTGAGGAGAGATGAGAAAAGAAAACAGGTCCCTGAAAGAGGGGGTCATCAACTTCAAACATCTGGAGGGTTTTCTGACAGGAGAGGGTTTGACAAGCTTTGATGTGTGGCCCCAAAGGGTAAACTAGGCCACCAGGGAGACGGTGGTTTTCTTCAGGATTTGGAAGAGTGACACTTAGAGCAATGATTGGTGAATTACAATTCATGGGCCAAATCTGGCCCGCTGACTACTTCTGTAAATAAAGTTTTGTTGGACCACAGGCTGCCCATTCATTTATGTATTGTCTGTGGTGCTTTCCTGCTGCCTGAGCAGAGTTGAATTTTTGCTACAGAGACTGCGTGGGCCACTAAGCCTATAATATTTAGTATCTGGCTCTTTGCAGATACTAAACAGTTTGCTGACCCCTGAATGAGAGCAATCCAAATACCAAATGGGCTGCCTCGTGAAGTAGTGAGTTCTCCATCATCTGTGGAATTCAAGCAAAAGCGGAAGGCCTGTTAACCAGTGTTGCTGCAAAGTGC